ATGGATTCAACTTTGTTATGTGTGTATAATTTTGGTTTAGTCAAACATATCTATTACAATAACTTCCAAATAGAATTTACTACAAGAAAATAAATTTATTAGTAAATTTAAATTTATCAAACAAATTTACTATAAATTCTAGAATTTAAATTATTAATAAATATTCTTTTTAATAATAAATTTGATAGTAAAATTTATTGATAAGATTTTTTGAAAATTTATAATTTGTATAAATGATAGATATTTTTACAATAATTAGTTTGATTATCAATTTCATAAAAAAATTCTTTGGTAAATTTGTAAATTTTATCATTAACGAAATTTATTTTCGATCAATAAATTTATTAGTAAATTATAGTATAGCGGCAAAGTTTTTAAAATTTTATGTTCTATTGAATATTCAATAAAATTATATTTTTCAATTGTTTAATTTTTCTATTAAATTATTATATGAATGTTCTCATATCTCTAGTCCAATTTTATAATTTTATAGGTTTATAATTTTATAGTAGAATATAAAATAGTTTGAACATTACAAGATTATTAAAGAAATTACACAAGAAATTTCTTATTTACATTAATATTCAACATTAAAAGATTAAAAATTATACATTATGACTTCAAATCGAATAATGTGTTGTTAGATGACAATATGAACCAAAAGATATCTAACTTTGGTATGTCAAGATTTAAACATATTTTATTTTCAAGTAATCAAATGTAATTTATAACACGTGTTTTAAATCGAATTGACAATTCTTATTCATTGAATTATTAAATGTTTCTTTACTTCTGTATTTTCACTCTGATTATTGATTTATACATTAGTTGTAACAATAAGATATAGTTAAAAAATTATTTTTATACGGATTTAAATAATATGTAGAATTTTTTTTTTTAACATAAGTTATACTAATCATAATAGATATACAAAAGAACAAGTTTACGTTTCTTCTAAACCGACCAATCATATACTAACTAAAATGGAAAAGCTACTACTGTAAAAAAAAATGGAAAAATGTACAACTTTGTTATGTGTGTATAATTTTGGTTTAGTCAAGCATATCTATTACAATAACTTCCAAATAGAATTTACTACAAGAAAATAAATTTATTAGTAAATTTAAATTTATCAAACAAATTTACTGATAAATTCTAGAATTTAAATTATTAATAAATATTCTTTTTAATAATAAATTTGATAGTAAAATTTATTGATAAGATTTCTTGAAAATTTATAATTTGCATAAATGATAGATATTTTTACAATAATTAGTTTGATTATCAATTTCATAAAAAAATCTCTTTGGTAAATTTGTAAATTTTATCATTAACGAAATTTAATTTTTCGTCAATAAATTTATTAGTAAATTAAGCGGCAAATTTTTCATAAAGTATAATGATATTTTTTTTATATTTAAAGAGGAGGAGATATGTAAGAAAAAAATAAAAAAGAATAGGAGATAAAAAGTTTAAGCGGACGTTGGTGACAATAATGGAAGCGTTACAATGATTTGAAAGTATGACGATAGTGAAAGAGTTGAAGGAGGATGAACTAAAAATGGTAATAATGGTGATGGACTGGATGGTGATTGATGGTGGTGGACTGGATGGTGATGGGTGGTGAAGAGGTGGTAAGGAGAGGAGAAAGAACAAGAAAAAAGGAAATCAAATAGAAATTGGAAGAACTCAATTGCGACTTTTATCAATGGTTCACGAGAGATTCTTAACTTTACTTTTATATGTCTTTCATAAAATTACGATATCTTTACTTTTTGGGTTAGTTCATAAATCTTAGTTTGTGTAGTTGATTTTGAATTTTGATTTTTTTAAATGTTGATTAGTGATAAATCGCATGATAATGTGGGATACCTGGTGAGTTATTTTTCTTGTCTACAAAATTAGGGCTTATAATTAGGACTAGACTATTTATTGCACAAATAAAAAGACAATGTATATTCATTGTTTTATTACTTGTACCGTCAATATTGTGGATCTCACCAATCTTGAAAGATAAAGAATGTTAACATTTTCTACATTATTCAGTCCAAAATATTTTTTGAAATTAATGCAAACTATATAAAATAGCCCATATGAAAACCTTTTTCTTTTTTCTTGTAATGATAGATTTTGAAGCATAAGAAAAACTTTAGAACTGGGATTTAAATATAGTTTTTAAATTTTTTTACAAAATAAGTGTTTAAGCATTTTTTTAGGAGTTAGATGGTATGCAATTAAAGTTAAACATTGAAGTATTTTAAGAAATGTTTAGGAAAAATTTTAAAATAAAAATAATAATGTAATGTTATTTTTATACTAGTTCGTTCAAACTGAACTACGTCGAGTTCTTCTTTAAACACTCTTAAGAAATTTTACAAATATTAGAAGTTTATAACACGAGTTTAATTATTCCTAATTTTACAACTAATCCTACTAGTTCAAACGAGTTTCTCAACTTATGGTATAAAGCTAGTCCAATTCACTTATGAATCTAAAAGCAACAAAGTATTTTTTAAAATTCAATTACACAAGATTACTCTCGTAGAAATGATATAAAATTGATACAATGAGGTTCTAAAAATTTGTAAAGAAAACTTTTCTTTTTCCAAAGAAAGAGACTTAGAGAACGTTAACTTAAAGATAAAACAGGAGCATGAGAGTATGCAAATATAATTCTCTTGTTCTTCTCTTCTCTTCATGTATTTATATGAACTTCTTCGAAAAAGATTAGTTCCTCTAAGCATTGATTTTCTTGTAGGGATGTATCTTTTTAATACAAGGTCAAATGTTACGTTGCGTCTTGCAGAAGCAGCTTTGTAGCTTGTACGGAAGAGAGAAACCTAAGATATGGAGGAAACATTCCTATAATACTTTTTTATCTCTTAACATTCTTATGATTATGATAGAGGCTTTTGAATAAAGTTGCGTACTCAAATAATTTGCACAGGAAAAAAAAACACAAAAAAATAGTCTAAAATACTAATACATACATGCATTAAAATGTTAGGGTTTACTTAGGGTTTAACGTTTAACCTTTAAGATATATAGTTTAATGTTTTATCTATACAATTTGTTTGTCTAATCTATTTCATTCATACATTTTTATTAAACTTTAAAACAAAGTTTACTTAATTTTAGATTATTTTTTATTTTCTTCATATAACAAATACATTAAAAAGTAAAATGAATTTATTCAAATACCATGTGGACTTCTTCACAAGTCATGTTCTTCCTTCCAAAAGTTTTTGAAAATCTATCTCACTCCCCTTTTAATTAGTGAACATTATCTAACATTTAGTGTCTCAACCCACCAACATAATATATTAACTCAAACAGAAACATAAAAGTGTTATAAAAAAAGTAAGGGATCTAAGAAGTTTTAAAAATAAAAAATTGAATTTAAATATTGTTTATTTCAAATCTAAATGGTATTTAAGTAATAACTTTAATAAAAAAGTAAAACTCCAGCTCATCATAAATTTCACCTATTTAATTTCCTACTCATATCCAATTAACGTGTTTGCGAACCAATTGGTTCAACCAAACTCACTGGTAGCCAACACGAGCTTAGTTCATCTCCAATACCTATTTTGCAAACTATACCTTTATAGTACATATCCCTTTGTACGTATTATTTTATATGGTATTTTTTTTGTTATTTTAATTTTTGAAATAAGATTTAAGATAGTATATACCTTTTTTATTACTCGCAATTACAGTATATGGCTGCTGTTTTAGTTTAAAAGAGAGGGGAAAAGTCGTGATTAAAGACTGTGGATATCTGGCATTGAATACAGAATATAAAACAAAATGTCGTGCAGAAAATTATAAGGCATGGCGAAATACCAATTAGATAACTTCAGATTTTACTTTTAGGAAATATAGTTTCAGATGCAGTGATATTACGCAAGGTAGGGAAACTTTAAATCCTGACTGTAAACTTTTAAAAAATTATTTTAAACTGATAAAAACAAAAGTAATTTAGTAACATTATTCCTATCTATTTAAATTTCTATATATAAAGTTATTTATTAGCCATCATGAAAATTATTTAATAAAAAGGAATTCACAGCGTTGTAGATATTACGGATAAAATTTAAAATTTAGGTGGGTGTGTTTTTGGTTTATTGAAGAAGAAAATTCAATTCAGAAATATCATTCAGAAACTCAACCTAAAAATATCATTCCTCGTATATATTTAATTGAAATTTATCTTAATGCATGCATGGGACCTGACAGGAGGCTGCGGTCAGCGAAGGGGTTCTTAAGTTCTTTCTTAACCCTTCTCTCAAGGCCGTGTTTTTTTAGTGGATTTAAAAGAATGTATTTGAGGAGATTTGAGAAGATTTGAGAGGATTTGAATATAAATTTTTTTGTCGTTTATTTGAGTGAATTTGGAGGTAAATGATAGTGAATTTGAAAATAATTTTTTTTAATTTGTCACGTCAATACAATTCTATACTAATTCTCACAATTTTTATTTCTAAATTCACTCTCATTTACCTCTAAATTCACTCAAATAAACGAAAAAAAGATTTATCTTCAAATCCTCTCAAATCCCCTCAAAAGAACATGGCTTTAAGTGTTGTTCATTTGTTGTTTTTGTGGTGCAGAAAAGGTTTTAAAATAATAACTTTTTACTTTTAATCATAAACTTAAGTTTAAGACAAACATTATGTTAATCGATCTACTAAATAAATGGTAGGGTTTGAATACATTTAACATGTGAACTGACACAAAATTGAAAAAAAAATATATTTGAATCAAGGAAATGTTTGATATCAGCCGCGAAGTAGCTTTTCAAACCTTCTTTCTGAATAGTGGACTAGGTCTTTGTGCGGTTGCTTCTTGACCTGCATTTCAATTTGTCCAACATCGCGCACTAAAAGACAAATTCTGAGACTGTATCATTGTATAATTACAATTATAATCACAATAACTTATAGTTAATAACACACTTACTATTTCAATTCCAAAATCTTGTGTTGTGCGCGAAACGATGTTTGGGCGCAACATGTTCCTCTCCAACTCCATCAACCATGTTACCTTTCTTCTGTTCCTGTCTCTCTTCGTAATCGAACCGTTTTGTTCCTCTGCAGCTCCGGTTTACAATTACTGCCCAACCAACGCATCCTACAATTCCACCGCAACATTTGAAACCAATCTCAAATTCCTCCTCGAATCTCTCGTCTCCAACATTTCCCAATCCGACGGCTCCTATTTCACCGCCATGGGCTTGGGGACCACAAGTGCCGCCAGCGGCTATTTCCTCTGCCGCGGCGATGTCTCCCTCGCCACGTGTAACGACTGCATAACCACCGCCGCCACCGAAATAACACAACTCTGCCCCAACAAAACAGAGTCCATAATATGGTACGACGAGTGCACGCTCCGTTTCACCAACACCTACTTCGACCCCGCCAGCATCGAACCGGGAGCTAGCTTATGGAACGGTGAAAACATCTCCACCTCCGACCTGGGCAGCTTTAACGGAACGTTGTTCGGCTTGTTGGACGATTTGGTGGAAGAAACAGCGAATTCTAACTCGGCGAGGAAATTCGCCACCGGCGATAGAGAATTCGCCGAATCCTCGGCTCAGAGAAGGGTGTACGCCCTGACGGAGTGCGAGCCGAGCTTAACGAGTAGTAGTTGTGAAGAGTGTTTGCAAAACGCCATTTCTACTGTACCCTCATGCTGCGAAGGAAAAGAGGGCGCGAGGGCTCTGCTTGCGTGGTGCAATGTTAGATACGAATTGTTTCAGTTTTACAATACGAACGCCACGTCACCACCCTCATCAGGTATTTTTCTTATCAAATATATTTAACCTATCTACTAGTAGTTAACAGTATATATAATTTTTCTATTTAATGAAAATAACCTGAGTATAATGTATCACAATGCTCATTAATCCCAGTTTTTTTGGTGTACAATCTGAAAAACCTGTTAATTCAGATCACATATCTTCCATTTATCAGTACATAATTAATGCTGCAAAGTTATTCTGAATTTCTTATAAGGAACAAAATTCTGAGACCAATTAGTAACTTTTCACAATCCATTATATGAATGAAATAGTTTTAACAAACGTGATATTTTCCATCTCATTGTATGAAGCTCCCCATTCATGTAGTTTGAAATCATCCAACCCTAATTCCCAAATTTTCAAATCGATCTACAGTAGCCTCAAATTCCCCCTTCGAGTTCATCCAATGTTGGTTCTGTCGTGCGGGAAGGAGGTAGAGACGATGGAGGAACAATCGTCGTCATCATTGCTACTGTCTCCGGGGGCTGAGGAGAACACAAAACTGGGTTTTAATAGGGAAGTGTAGAAGGTTATAGAAAAGCCTGTCTCATGCATCGCCATCTGAATAGAAAATCTTGGAAAAGCCTGTGTCGTTGCTTCCTCTCAGCATCAGTGACTGAGATTCGACGTTAGGAGCTGGAGGCGATAGTAAAAAGGCGAACAACGGAAATAGCCGGGTAGAGATTCTGGCGATGGAGACAACAGGAATGCCACCATCAGAGGAAGTTGTGTAGCTGAAGATGGCGGTGTTGGAGGCGTCAGTAACATTGACGGTCACAGGCAGAAACCAAATATGAAACAGAGAAGATGTCACTGATCATGCGTTGGATGAACTCGACGGAAGGAGATTGAAACCGCTCTTCAGTAATATGAAAAATTGATTAGTGTTCGTGAACTGAATTCATGTGACCTCAGCATACTAATCTTCATCAACATGTATATGTAATGAATCACATCTTTCTTTTTGTAATTACTAAAGCCTCTCTTTTTCGTGCAATTATTTATGCAGGAAATAACCATTATGCATTACGAGTAATCCTCATTGTTTCCCTTGTTATTGTGTCGATAATTCTCCTATGTGGTGTCTGCTATTTCATATTCAAAAGATCAAGGAAGAAATACAACACTCTTCTAAGGGAAAATTGTAAGTAATCTGAAAAAGAAAGCCTGTTCCTTTCCATTTCTTTAAAAGGCTAAAATTACTGATTTCAGCTCTTGGATGTTTCTCTAGTTGGAGAAGAAAGTTCCACTTTGGAATCGTTACATTTTGATTTGGCCACAATAGAAGTTGCCACAAAGAAGTTTTCACATGAAAACAGGATAGGTGAAGGTGGATTTGGAGATGTTTATAAGGTGATAAAGTGTTATTAAAAATATACGCATGTTGTTTCGATTTGTTTCCTGTAGTTAACCTGCATTTTTTATGCTCTTAGGGTATCCTTCAAGATGGACGAGAAATAGCAGTTAAAAAACTTTCACATAGTTCAGGCCAAGGTGCAGCTGAATTTAAGAATGAGATTTTGTTAATAGCAAAACTTCAACACAAAAATTTAGTGACGTTGTTAGGATTTTGTTTGGAAGCTGAAGAAAAGATGCTTATTTATGAATTTGTGCCTAATAAAAGCCTAGACTACTTTCTATTTGGTAAGTTTATCTCACTACAATTTATTGCTGAGCTTTATATTTTTTTTTCTTACTTTAGATTGTATATTTCATTTACAGATCCATACAAAAGTAGTCAAATGAATTGGTCGGAACGATACAAAATTATTCAAGGAATTACACAAGGAATTTTATATTTACATGAACATTCCCGATTGAAAGTAATACATCGTGATCTCAAACCTAGCAATATATTATTTGATGTGAACATGAATGTAAAGATATCAGATTTTGGAATGGCAAGAATTGTTGGTGTAGATCAATATCAAAGAAACACAAATAGAATAGTGGGAACATAGTAAGTATTTCATCTTATCTATCAAGGACATTTTTAATATATTGAAATATACTTGTTTTCTAACATTTATGTTTGTTACTTGTTACAGTGGATATATGTCACCTGAATATGCAATGTATGGACAATTTTCAGAAAAATCAGATGTTTTCAGTTTTGGAGTTATAATAATAGAAATAGTTAGTGCAAAAAAGAATGCGAGACATGTTTTTTCAGATGATGATGACCTTTTGAGCTATGTATGTATTTATTTGTATGAGATTATTTTACATTAATTGATGCTAATCCGGCATAAAGAATGCAAAGATCCAATTAATATTTGATTTATGAATTTGTTGCAGGCTTGGGATCAATGGAGGGATCGGACACCATTAAACATATTAGACAAAAATATTAAGGAATCTTGCAATCAGAGTGAAGTCATAAAATGCATCCAAATAGGTTTATTATGCGTGCAAGAGAAGCCACAGGACAGACCTACAATGACACAAGTTGTTTCATATCTCGGTAGCTCTTTATCTGAGTTGCCATTTCCTGAAAAACCCATAAATTCTAATCAAAGTGGACTAGTTCAAAGGATGGTAGTAGGAGGATCCAGTTCAGGTTCTACAAAATCGATAAATGAAATGTCTGTGAGCATATTTATTCCTCGGTAGTATATATGTATATTCTTGTGTATAAATAAATTATATATCCTAGCTAGTTAAAATCTCCATTAATTTGATATTCTGTTTATCTTGAACTTAAGATTTCACACTATATGGTAGATAACTTGCCATCATTTAAATTAAATAGCCGTTTCATTTGATAGAAAAATATAATCACTCATGAGAACTATTGATGGTTGCTATAGAAGATGCGCGTTTATAAAAATGTCGATCTCCTTAAGAATGATATTGCTTTGAAAATATGTTACGTCATTATATTTTTATCATAAATATGTATCAGGAAATGGTTGAAAGTGAAATATTTGCTATACATTTTGTACAAAATAGCAAGGGGGTCTAAAACATAGAGGCTCACAAAAGAAAACATGTAAACAAGGCCGTAAAGTTAAATGGATTCCTCTTTTTCTTTCTGCACCTGATTGTTTTAATATTTTCTGAATTAGATGTTTTGAGAAATATTTTCAAATTGAAAAAATACTGATTAAAATACTCAATTTTGAAAAATATAAAAATATATATTATAGATTAAATGTTAATTAAGATTCTTTCGGATTTTAAATTTCTTATAAAACATTTAATCTAGAAAATATTTTTATATTTTAAATTGAAGAAAGTATTCCATTTGAAAAATATTTTGTATTTCAAATAAGTGTTTTCGAATGTATTTTCAGAAATTAACTTTCAAAACACCTTATCTAGACTAGAATATAAAACTAAGAATAGTGGCCCGCAGGAAGTAAAAAAATAAAAATAAAAAATCCGTAACTTTTTTTTAAACTGATTCAATTAAATAGAAACTTTTCATCATTATAGTTTTTAAAAGCATTCTCTATTTTTTATATATATTTTAATTACATATCTTAGACGAGTACAAATATTTTTTTCTCTTTAACCAAATGATTCAAAAATATAATTTTACACTAACTCTGAATAAAAAGTGATAATTGAATAATATTGGTTAATGATCACTCCGAAATTAAACTCCTTTCCCAAAATCGCAATTTACTTCGTGGACAAATTGTTAATTGCGTGTGCCTTTTAAGGCTAGCTAGTTATAGTGCAAGAAAAAGTTAATTATTTAATTATAAAATTAGTTGAAAGATTAGTTACTTTCAATTTATATTACTCAGTAATGATTTCAAGTAATCAATGTTTATGATTTCGTACTTATTTTTCTCAATTTTTTTAATTTTCTCTTTGACCCAACCATCACTCATGCTTTATCCTCTCTAAAATTTCCAACCCTTTCGGCAAGTCACATCTCACTTTTAGGACAAATCGCTGTTGATTTACGAAACTTCTTAGAAAAAAAAATATCAATGAGATTGCCCGAGGAAAAATCGAGATCAACCCAGCACCAACATAGACTACCATAGTTGAACAAATTATAATGATGTTTTTTATATTTTTTAAATGATCTTTTATTAAGAAATATAAGTACAATATTTTTAAAACTGCAAGTATAATATTAAAAAATAGCGTAGATTTTAAAATAAATGATAATCAGTATAAAGCTTTGAGGAAATTATGATTTCAATGAAATTTGACAAATTTATGTAGAGGATTATAATAATTTATTGTTGATATTTTTCCAAGAAAGAAATTGGTTCGTTATCCATATGATGAAATCACGTTATCAGAAACAATAACTGTAATCTTCAACTCATTTCTTTCTATATTTCTAATTTACTATTTGTATCCAATAGAAGTCACACACCAGTTATTGTGTTTACACTCCTTTACTTACTTTCTTCCCTATCATTTCTCAGTGCCGTTTCAATCTTGGGTTCGTTGGAAAAACCCTAATATCAAAACTCAACTCACCTGCTATGAAACTCTACATTATAGATAGAAAATTAATAAAATGGTTTACTTCAGTTTATATATTCTAATTTAAAAGCTGCAACATTCGATTTCAATATGTTTTTCTTCTTCTGAGCAAACATTTAAAAAATATTAAATGAAAGAGCAAACAGAAAATTAAGAGTCAAGTAATCTTGAATGGTTCTTCTACAACCTCTCTACATTAAAAAAAAAAAACACTAAGATGTTTGTAACTACGAAGTTAAGATACGAATACAGGATACTGACACTGGAAACAAACACATCTTAAATTGAAAAAATATAGGACAGAGAATACTGTGTATATATAGGTATTAATTTTAAACTATCAACTATCACATTCTCAACTAACACAAAAATAAATTTATTATATTTATCTAATATTTAAAATGTAAAAAATAAACTTAATATATCTATCTAATATCTAAAATGTAAAAAATAATTATATAAGATTTGTGGTTTATTTTTATAATTATAATTGAAACTATGCAATAAATCAAAATTTTGTGGATTTTATAGAAAATCATGGGATATATAATTAATTTACTTGTGTTCGAGTCAAATAGATAAAAAAATATATGTTTTAAATTAAATACTTTTTACTTATATATCTATATATATAATATATAATATAAATATTATATATATTATATATTTTGTTATTTATATAATCTTTTTAAAATATACTATTTTAATTGACAAAAATATTCTCATATGGATTATAAATTTTAAGAATAAGGATTATATATATTGACTATAATTCAATTTGGTCACAGTGGAGAGCCACAAACAAGTTTTCTTTTAAAGAAAAGAATATTTTGATATAAATTTTTTGACAATATTTTAACATGATGTCATTTTCTCACTAATTCATTATTTATTTGTTATTTTATTATTGTATTTTAAATCCAATAAAAAAATGACAGGTGTATTAAGTCAAAATGTAAAAAAAAAACACAATGTGTTAACATTTCTTTATCCAATAATATAATAAAAATGTTTAAACCTTTTCAAATCCCTCCTGATATATGCCAGCCTCAAATCAAGCCATGCAAACACCAAATATCTCTTATTTCAATCTTCAACAATCCGCATGCAGAGTACTATTTGCTAAATGAATAGAGCACACAAGATTATTCAAGAAATTGCACCAAAAATACTTTATCTACATGATTATTCAATATTGAAATTCACTCGTCGTGATCTTAAACTAATAATATTTCATTAAATAATAACATGAATTCCAAAATATCATATTTTTGCATTGCAAGAATTATTGCTTTGGAACAAGACCAAGAAAATACAAATAAACATTGAACATAATTTTATGTTTTTATTATATAATTTTGTCTTTAATACATAATATATAATATATAATATATATATATATATATATATATATACTATATATATAAAGAATTGATATCACTCTTTACAAAAAATCTTAAGACAATAGGTTAATGAATCTTTAACATGGTAAGCGTGTCCCGTTAGGATGAGCGACGATACGAAAATGGATAGTTAAATGCTTCCGTTAGAAGGGGAGTGTACCAATGTAGAAAAGACTCACCATTCAAAGAGAATATTGTTAGAATTCTAAGTGAGTCTAAGTCTCACATTGTGTAAAAATGAGAAAGTAGAACATCATATAAGGTTGAAAATTCATTAACCCATTCTCTTAAGGTTTTGAATAGAAAATATAGTCAATCTCTTATGTAGTTGGGTTAAGATCTTATTGATGTTATATTTTTCTAATGAACTTCTTCTTCCATAGACCTAACAAGTAGTATCAGATTTAGGATTCTTAAAATTCTTTTAAATTTGTTCATGATTTGTAATTTTGTTCAAATATATTATACACCACATTCGATGAAGTTGGTTGTTTCCAAACCTGGATCTTCTTTTGCTTTAAGCTTCTATATAAAACTTCACATAAAACTCAACTTAATAATTAAATAATATAAGTTATAGCAATTGACTGTATTAATTTTGAAAAACGAAATAGTTTTTATATTATGTTTTAATTATGATAAGTACTTAAAAATGTTATAATAAAAGTAGTAATAAGTTTATAAAATCAATTATAATACAATCAAGTTTACAAGTTTACATTATGTACATTGTGTAAAACTAAAATTTAGATTAAAGTTCTAGGTGATTAACACCAATACCTGATAATTAGTAGCATACTTACTACTTTTGATAAAAACAGCCTATGTGATCTCAATCTAACTTTAGCCAACTTCGATCATGAAAATGTTAAATTATTACAAATGGGCATTTCATTATGTGCAACAAAGAGTTAGACTGGGAGGTTTAGTGAATTGTGAGTGAAAATTCACATAGTAGTTGTGTCATGTGATGGAAGCAAGTGAGAAGAAAAGGTTGGACAATAGATTCGAATCCTATTAGACCATTTGAGCGATTTATTTATTTATTTATTTTTTACTTTATCAAAGTAGTGTATTTTAAAAAAAATTAACAAAATAGATAATGTTTAAAAGGATTATAATTAAAAATCAAGACCGTACCACTTCTTTACATAAAATTGTGTCAATTCACTGTAACTTATTTTAGAATATTTTTAAAGATGAAACCATATTAATTAATACGAAACAATTTTAGTTAAGAGCATTTTAAATTGAAGTTATATTACTTTTTCACAACATATATTATATACTTTTGCAAAAATATGGATTTAATTGAAAATGTATAAATTTTAAGTGACTAATGTGTAAACTGTGTTTTAACTTTTTATATCAAAAATTTAATTAATCTTCTTCAAATATATATTTATTATTTGATAATTTTATTAGCATTAATTCATCATAATATTTTTAGAACAGTATGTTTATGAATTTTTTTAGTTATATATATGTATGTATACATGTATATATATGTATATTCAACTGAAATTATTTAATAGAAACGGTTTAATTTTTATGTTAAGATTTAGTTTCATAATGTATTGGCATTGTTTAGGCCTGTTATCTTCCTTTTCACACCCCTACAGTACGCTCATTGGTAAACGTAACGGCACTTGATTAGTTTACGAATCACCATCTACATTGACGATGGAAGTGGTCAACACTCCTGATATTTGAAAGAGAAATATGTGATCACTAAAATATTCTGTTGGAAAACAGGATCAAAACCACTTCCAAAGTAAAATACAAAAAATGGATCAATTTTAAATAATTATTAACACATATAATGCATGCATTAATTTAAAGTATCTATATGTACATAATGCAACTTTTTTTTATATTTTTTTAATTATATTGACAGTTAGTAGTTACTATTATAAATGTACTAATTATTTACAAAATATGGTTCTAATTAATATACAAAACATATCACTAATTCAAATAATATGTCAATTAAAAAGTTCTGCTTGGCATTAATTATAACCAAGTAATGTTCAGTGTTAGTATATACATAATAAACATTCAGAACAAAATTACAATAACATATTAAAAGATAAATTATAGGAGTTAAAGTATATTAT